AGATATTTGAATTCTTAACCTTATCACCGCCTATGAGGTAGATTTATTATGTACAATAGCCAAAATGTCTCGAAACTTGGGGATTTGCTATTTTAGTCTTGGAATAAGTAATGTTCTTGTTGATATTTACATATCAATATCAATGCAATTCAGGAGCTCGGAATAAACAAAGAAATATCACACTACCTACATAATTTCATGACTTAAGTCACTTGTCAGACATGACATTTGACATATAATTTTATGACTGGAAGGGCACCATCTTGTAAAATCATCAAAAATTGGGATTGAATTTTCATTTTTAGCAAGTTATTTAGTACGATTTATTCTCTTATTTTTAATAAAATCCCAGAATTTTTAGCTTTTTTACGGTATAGTGTACATATATTGGGCCTGAAATGGACCGTCTCCTTTCAATTTCCAACAAAAAGGGGCGGGGCAGAGAGATAAGGAGAGACAAATAGATCGAAAAATTAAAAGCCTATGTTCAGCGGTGAACTTTTATAGTGTTATGAAGAAGAACGCGAAACAATGATAACGATGATAAAACTTTAATCAAGTGTACTCCCATTAGCAGTATTTATGTAAGCAGCACGCAAAAGAAGAACTACTACAGAAACATATTTAGTACAAACTGTGATAATTTTTTCAGGCCGAATTCGACTACGACGACAACATCCGAATCCTAAAGAACTCTATGATCTACTACTATTACTAACTGTAACTAACAGTCACACACACTCGCAACTCTCGAAATATTCAGACTCAGAAAAATATGTGTTTGAAGCATTCGTACTTCAGTTATATTTCGAAATCAGGAAATCCGATTTAGCAGTCAGGTACTTGGTTATCTAATTTCGTTGTGCGCTTTTTGATGGAAGTTTTCGAGCCGCTGATGGTAAATCTATACATTATTTTACTAACGTAAAAAGAGCTTAAATAAACAATTGCAAATCATCACAAGTTTCTAATCATACAATATTTTGTCATTAGCACAGGGACCATTGTAATAAATAAAACTGTCATATTTCAAAACTCATCATTTTATAAAATGTTGAAAGTAAAACCTTTTAGTTCCAAACTTAATTTAATTAATTAAATTAATGCGACTGTACCATTAACCACACAACGCTCTAGGGAAATTCGGAAAATCGAAATGAAACTAAATATTTAATAACTAACGTCCCTTTTACCTATTTACAATTTAATCAAATTTATGTTTACCAGTTATAACGTATTGTCAGACTTTTCTTTTTATAGATTAAGGGTGACAAAGTCCACCACAGTAAGTGGATACCGTAACCCATAGACATCTACATTATTCATCATCCATTACAATTCAAACTAAACAATCTAATTTAATATAATATATGTATTACTTGTGAGATACATTGTGTTTTCATGCGATGGCCAAGTCAATCTATTTATGTAAAACATAAACGATTGTTAATATTGATATGGTCACTTTAAAATGTTGTTAGGTTAGCTAATTACGTAATAACTTAAGACGGAAGGACCCTTAAGTAGGGACTGAATAAATCAACCGACTTGGTATTACATGGACCTCGCAACTTATTACGTTAGAAGAACTGGGTTGCAAGACCTGGTTTTTTTTTACAAGTTATGTTTTTGATGGCATTATACATTAGTTTAATAATACGACTGAAATCAATTTTAACTGAAATATATTTTGTTGCTAGAGTAAATATCGATTTTACGATAACGATATGTTGGCTATGTTACCAAAATAATTACTCATCAAAATTAATGGTTCATCGATCAGTTCGCGTTGAATTACATTTTCATCGACATACATAATTACTTAGTTCACGGCCCTTGTATCCGTTGGGTGCTACCTAAACATATAAAACGCATTACAGCTTATTTTTCTTCCTTCAACATACTACATACTACTTCATATTGTAACCAAGTATGCCAATATAAAACGTAAGATCGTTCACTTGCAATTAAATTCAATAAAAAATGTCTCGATTTCTTCAATAATTTAACTTTAAATAGAAAGTACTAATCGACCTCAAAAGGTAACATCTATAATGTCGACTAAATAGTTGAATTAGAACCCTCATCCCTCATTAGGGGTAGTATTTTTTCTTTAATTCTATATGGGACCACGGAACTATTACAAAATACATTTAATAAAAAAATAATTATTGAAAATCGCCTGAGCCGTTTCCGAGAAATCTGTGAACATACATAAAAAACCCTATGAGTCGAATATAGAACTTCTTGTTTTTATGAACTCCTTTAAAAACTAAAATAGAAAACCTCGTAGTCTGTAACTTTATAAAAACATTATTATACAAGATAGCTCGGCAGACAATATCGATGATTCAAGTTTAGATTGCAGACAGGGCTTTAATTATAACGCTTCTACAATGCCGATATTTTTACTTTGACATTTCTGCTTATATTTTAGTGTAATTCTTATGTTATAGTTGTGTGTTTATTTGAGGTGTTTACTATTCTTATCTAATCTGATGCAGTCTGACACATTTACCGTCTAGAAAAAAATAGGGTGTAACAATATGAACGGAGTAGAAGTCTATGGCCTGATATTTTACTAAAACACAAATATTGAATTAAACATTTGCAAAAAAAATTGTTTTAAATTACTTTGCCCTTTGCTCTAAGCCGGTGACCCTGCGAAGTGACAAGGTCAAAGATAACTACAAAATTTATTTTTTTATTGCCGATCGTAAAGTATTGGTGGATATGATTTTAATTCCGATAGATTTTAATATTTTTTTAATTAAAATTTTGTTTTTATTTTTAGTAAAATATCAGGCCATATACTTCTACTCCGTTCACATGTTACACCCTATTTTTTTCTAGACGGTAAAAAAGATCACCAGTATAACATCGTCTTCGTCATATAAATGACATATTGTCTTATTTTGTGGTACATAATTAACCTACGAGCTCAGGTCCCTTTTTCCCTTTTTGGATAAATTTTATCTACGCTTACACTTAAATTAAATTGAAGTGTCTGTTTGTAAATATTGTAATAACTGACTTCTATTAAGCTCAGGGAGTTATTTGAATGCTGTTAAGATATAAACACCCATTTAAAAAAAATATCTGTATGGTTGTCTCCATGGGCTCATTTTCGGAAAGGCTAACCGATTGTGATGACACTACGAAATAGAGAGCAATGAGGAGTGATCTTGGCAATTTTTTAAGTAATTTCAGATTTTTTTCATTGAGAAAACGAAAAAATTGTAAAGTAAATGGTCCCCGGCTTCGTACGGGTGATTTTTGGATCTCGACAACATATGCTTGTATTGCACATACCTTCCTCTGAATCATTCTGTCTATTGTTGAAAACCCCATCAAAATTCATTCTGTAATTTAAAAGATCTAAGCGTACAGACGGCTTTACACTGTGTACTCTAAATTTAAATAACGTCAAATTAATATATCCTATACAGGCGTTGCCGGGCGTGTAGCTAGTAAATAGATAATATACTAGCAATCTTAACAGATTGGTACAACTATCTTCTTCTATAAAACAATACTAAGAACAGTGCCAGCACAAGAGGTGTGCGCACGTTACTGACTTGTCACAGACCCCTGTCATACCAATGCTGGTAAAACACCTCTTCCATATGATTGTTAAAACACCTTGACTTATTTTTATCGTCTACTTCCAAATTTAGAAAATGTATAATTACTACTAACTTACGATTACTTAGTTTGGATTAAGCCCTTTATCCATCCTAAAAAATCCTGGGTGTATAACAAAGCGTGGATACTCGGAAACGCGTATTCATCAAAACCAGATGGGGTGGATAACCGGAATTGGTTATATTATGTTTCTTTCTATTTTCTCCCTCGTCTGTGTCTAATTACTAGACTAGACTAGACATTACCTAATAAAAAAAAAAAAAAAAAATATATATATATATACATATTCTTGTTTGAAAGGTCAACGCTGAAATAAAATTCGTACCTCACAGGATTACGATTCATTGGAATCTTGGCATAAAATAATTTAAAATTAATTTAAAGACAAACAAATTAAGTTAAAGACAAATTAAGTAAAAGATCTATCTAATAGTAACAATTTTGTAATATTTTCAAAAAATGCCCAGTTTGTAGCATCTGTAGCAAGGAAATTTAGAAAAAGATTACAAATATACAATAAAAGTGACGAATTAATACAGAATATCAAATCACGTGTACTCAATAATAAAATTAGTTTTCGTAATTGCCTGAAAAAATTGCAGAATTTATAAATTACGCAATAATATTATTTAAAAACGACGAAGTTTAATTTGATTTAAATGCAATACGTAATGCGTGGACTTTAATAGGCTGTAACGATAACAGCAATACGTCATAATTTTTTTAATTAAGTTTGTGGTTTTTTTTATTAAATTTTTAGTAACGAAAAGTGTTGAACTGTACTCTGGGTATAAAGTCGGAAGAATAATTAAAAGTGAATTCCGATTATGCGATAGATGAACACGCGTTTCCGAGTATCCACTCTAGGGTGGATAAACGAAATATCCTTAGTTTAATATTATGTCTGTATAATATTTTCTTTGTTTTCTTTTTATATATAAATTGACCGTATTGTGGCAGCGTAAGAAGTAAGAATATCCCCTACCCCATATCGTTCCGTGGGTGTCGTAAGAAGGTAACAAGGCATTGTACCTTAACTAACTAAAAAGGGCTGACAATGCATCTCCATTTTGATTCTTAATCAGTGACAGATGCAGATGTTTATCAGCTATAATATCTACTAATCAAGTGGACTATGAGCTAGTTTATCATCCTTATTCTATAAAAATAGAAATTGTGATATGATACATTTGTGATGATATTTACTAATAGTAACATTTTATATATTAATTACTACTACCTACTTTTTCCTTGTAGGTATTGTCCTGTTGTAGGTTATCACAAATAGATTTTATTATAGAATGAAAAAATACCTACAGGTATTCTTTACTTCTTATTACAATATAGGTACTTACTTTTCCATACAAAGTTTTGAACTCGAACGCGATACGTAAACGTTGTTCGTTGCTGCGCCGTGTCAAAACTTGAATTATAGCCTTCTCGTCCGTTCCGAATCCTTTCATCGCTTTACGAAGCACCGCAGCATCTTCACGCGGGTCGAAGGGGTTAGCTGGCACGACGGTAGGTTTAGACTGCGAAATAATAGTGAGCATTAATCATGGATTAATATGTCAAGAACATGGTCATTATATAGACCAACCAAATTAAACCTAATTTCATTATCATCATTTCAACCCGTTCGTCTAATGCTGGTCTGGCGCCGCCTCCTAGTTTATCCAATAGGAGGGAGGAAGAGGGTTATAGAAACGAGTAAAAGAGAACGATAGTGATGATCTTTCAATTAGCAACTGGTGCGTGTAAACTAGAGACGGAATAAGATGCTCTTTGTTAGATGTGAATTTTGATGAAATGGAAACGACCTTCAAATTAATCGATACCTAAATCACAGTAAGAATGGGACAATATAGCAAGCAATGTGAATGAATCGCAAACGTATACCGTGAAACGAAACGCTTTGAACCCGCGCCGTAAACCAATTGTAGCTCTATATGCGCTGCGCATACTTGAATTCGACGTTACAGAGGACATATTGATTGCTGGATAAGTAATCTTAGAGGTCAAGTCAGCTTTATGTAACACTGCTACGTCACTTCACACCATAGCACTGAAAGTTATCCAAAGCGTGATGTAAAACAAAAGCAGACTCCTGAGCACACTACAGCCATTGTATTGAAGACCAAAGTCAAGACTGAGTCGTGGGTTATTGTGATAAATGTACGGCGAGAGACGAAGTGAACATAACAATATAATTGCAGCAAAATGTTCCTTGAATAGAGCCAGAGTGTATAGGTATGGCGACTACGTTAGTACATTCGAATGATACACCTCTACGTTAAATTGCTGCAACCGATTTGGAAATAAATAAAATATCAATGTCCCTCGCAATCAATACAGGTTAAAATGACAATAAATAGGATGGCAGATACCCTTTAGTTATCGCCAAATATTTGTTGGAAAAAAAAAGAAATTTATTTTGTATACTTAACTATGTAAGTTATTGATGATACAGAAGGTCAAGAAGTTCGCAGATAGAGGTGAATTTCTTTTTTTATACTCATTTTTACACACTGTTACAAACTTTTCATTTAGTTTATTTACTAAATAAACTAGTACAACAAATTACGACAGTAATATTTTCTGACGACCAAGGGTTTTTTTTTCAGAATCTTAAAAAATTCAAGTGAACTGAAACATATGTATTTACATAGTACATATATTCTTAATTTTAAGAGAAAATTTTATTCTAAACAAAAATATAATTGATTCCTTCCATCTGTCGATTAATAAACATGCTTAATCCCATCGAAGTAATATGTATGTCGGAGTCGAGCTTAATTAGACCTTCAGTTAACAGCGTAGTCTTTTTACCAAACGGCGCCGTTTAACTCAAAGACCAGAGACGGTCTCGTTGAATGAAATAAATGTGATCATGCCATGTGATGTCGCTGGCCTCTGCCTAATTATGCGCTTTATAACAGGAATGTACGCGGCTTTAGGGTGTCCTAAAGGCCACCCCAGCCACACCTCAACCTACTGTCGCTGATATTATAAGATAGGTGCAATGTTGTATTGATCGCACCGACTGAATATCATTCAGGCAGCTAGTTGAACGGCGCCGTTTAGTAAAACGGCAAATCTGTTAACTGAAAGACTAATTAAGCCAGTTCGCTGCGACATGTATAAGTATATTTATATTTCAATGTTTAATCCTTAATGCTTTTCAAGAAGATTAACCAACATTAGTCTCTTTTACATCTCCTTCATTCCCCTTTCATTTCTAATTATTGATCTATTGCTAAGGCTGTTGTCTTTTAAGTGCATAAGTTGTTCGCCTTTATTTTAATAGTGCATCCTATCAATTATGTTACCTCCCCTTTTATTATATATATTATTGGTGTAAATTAGACTGTAATATTATAATTGATATACAGTAAAGTTTTATTGGTTAAAAGTATGTTATAGGAATTCATGATTTTACATTAAACTGCTGCAAGTGATATCTTACTTCCTACCTTTTTTTATAGAATAAGGGTGACAAACGATCACACAGTCCACCTGATGGTAAGTGGATGCTGTTGCCCATAGACATCTAAATTTATCCTCAATTAAGAATCAAAATGCAGATGCCTTGTCACTCTTGAGGACTAAGATGGAATGCCTCGTTTCGAGTCTCCGGATCTCTCTGCACTCACTATACGATACACAGCATTATTAAGCAGCTATTTTACGTTGGTATTCCGTGAGAGCGTGGTCCTTCCTAAGTCAAGCCGACCCATTAGTACTACAACCATAATATAGCTGCAGCATGGCTCTACCACTATGAATATATCATGTACGCCTGTATAAATACCACAAACAAAAATAAAATTATAATTCACAAACAATGAGGGCTATAATCTTACATTCACCGTATGATAAATAAGTTCACCTCAGTCACAAGTAGCGTTGCCAGGACTTAAAACCGAAAAGCCGGACAGACTGCCAACTTAGCCGGACATTTTGGTAAAAAGGCTGGACACCCTTAATTTTTAGTCTTAGTAGAATGGTAATTGTTTAAAAGTAAAACAATGCTTTTTATCATTTACCATAAAGTCTTCTTAAACTAATGAAATAATAATAATTGAATAAATTAGTCTTCTTTATTATTAATAATTCAATAATCATTACAATATAAATTTCAATAATTTCTAAAGAATGTAAGTACATGAAAAATGTTAAGAAATGGTGAAATTCAAAAAGCCTAACAAAAGCCGGACAGACTGGACACCGTTTAATTTGGCCGGACACGCAACCAAAAAGCCTGACTGTGTCCGGCTTTATCTGGACGCCTGGTAACGCTAGTCTCAAGTAGCTGGGCTGAGGTGAACTTATTTATCACAGTTGAGTTTTAAATAAGTTTATTTGGTTTCTAGTGTAAGCATATACAAAAAACAACATCTCAGTAGTGTCTTTATTTTTTTTAATTCTTCTACTTAAGTAGATTTATCCATAGTTTGATTGATCCATTTCTAATTATTACAATACATGACTAATTTTCCAGAAAGAAATGTTATTCATTTCACTTTTTTAACAATTTACGCAGATATCTGGTCCATGAGATCTGTCAAACATTTTACGTCATTTTAAAGGGACACCATTTTGATAGCAGAAAAAGTTGTGAAGGCCAAATAGCTTTAAGAACTAACAACTGATATAAAAGAAAGACTCTCAAAGTCTTATACTGGCAAGATCTGTGGAGTGAAAGTTATAATATGTGGTAGAGCCACGCTGCAACTATATTATGGTTGTAGCATGAATGGATCGGCTCAACCGGGGAAGGACCATGCTCTCACAGAATACCAGCATAAAATAGCAGCTTAATGCTGTTGTGTTTCGTATGGTGAGTGTAGAGAACCGGACACCCATTTTACTGGAATTGAGGCATTCCATCTTAGTCCTCAGGGGTGACAATGCATCTGCATTTTGATTCTTAATTGAGGTTAAATGTAGATGTCTATGGGCCACAGCATCCACTTACCATCAGGTGGACTGTGTGCTCGTTTGTAACCCTTATCCTATAAAAAAAAGGTCAAAAACTAATGAAACATGCAGGAAATAAGCAGATGCAGGTGACACAGATCCACATTCTGAGACAATTTTTGAGTGAAGCTTGTGTTTAGCAGTGGACTTGTTGAACTTGAAGTACAAATGTAAATGCAATTCTTCTTGTAGTAGTAATTATATCAAATTTAATTATTTTAATGTTTCCAACATGATTTTACCATTAAATTAAATATAGTCTTAAGTGGAATCATTGTTAAATCAAAATAAATAATGATAATAAAATTGCTATTACCAATTATTACACTCATGTGTAAAAAAAAAAATATATATATATATATATAAATTATACTCTGAGCTACTATATAAAAACCTTTATCTAAGTAGTCTGTAATGATGAAACATCTTTCAGCCTACTATATATTGTACATAAAACATGACTAACATACATGTTTTATATTTTCTAGCAAATTGTTTGCATTTAACGGTTGTTCACCTTGATAGTTAACTGATAAGCGCATACTTTGCTGCTGAAAGGCGTATGGAAAGATTATGGGAATTTTACTAGTTTATTCAAACACAATAATGTTACACTTTATTGCAGGTTTGAAAAATTTATGATCATACTACACCAAATACACACTTACCAACAGGTTGACTATTAATTCATATGTCACTTAAATTTTTGTTGAAATAGACTTGTTATTATTTTTACCCACCTTAATTTCAATTTTGGTATTACAACCAATTATGATGTAATATATTATAGTAGATGTATATTTTGATGCTAAATAAGTTAAAAAAAAAAACAGGAGAAATTCACTGTCTTGTCACTTTCAATAGGTATCGTTAAAGCCAAATAAGAAAATAGGGTTAAACTATAGACGTCCGGTACTCGCGTACGGTATTAGGAGGGGGAGGGGAAGGGGAGGAAGTCATGAGAAGCCCCCCCTACCCTTCCTTCGTTGCGGAAATGTATAGTTTATGAGTAATAATTTTTTTGTAAAATTATAACCTCACTTTTTATACAGGAATATTGACACAAAGTTACTTCTGCAACGGCCGTACGGTGTTGGAAGGTTGGTCATGGGAAGGTCCCCTACCCTTCCCCCGTTGCGGAAATGTATAGTTTATAAGTAATAATTTTCTTTGTAAAATCATAACCTCACTTTTTTATACAGAAATATTGACGCAAAGTTACTTCTGGAACGGCTTCGGCACTGCGGGAAGTTTAACCTCTTTGCCCTTGCGTAGCAAACCGCAGGCACCTAAGTGAGCCGTAGCGGCTCACTTAGGTGCCTGCTATTTGCTACAGCGGGCGGGGGCTGCTCTCCCTCCGTGCCTACGGCTTTACAAAAACACTCTAGGGGTAGGGCAGACAAGACTACGTAGAGTCGGGGTGTGCTAATTCGGTTTTCGAACCGATTCGACCAATCTTATCTATAAAGTTGCCCTAAACTCTGCTATGACAGTGGTAAACGAAATAATGTAATGTGAATTGTTATAATTTTGTTTTCTGAAAAACCTCTTGACTGCTCTCCATTGCGACTCAATTTATTGTATGTAAGTCCCGTCTCCAGCCACAAATGGATTGTCTGGGTCCGAGTGATTAAATTTTTTAAGAGCGTATCTGTTTTAAAAAACCGACGGGTTGCACTCCGGGAGTGCCGGCAGAAATGAAAACTTGAATATTAACGTTGTGCATTTTTGATATTTTGGAATGGTTAGGGAATAATTTTGCACGAACTGCTTTAATTATCAGTATAAAAGTATCATTTATGTGGTAGAGTACAATATTTATTATTGCACTATCGTACACAAACATGACAATTTATATTACAATCGCGCAAGCGCCCTGCGCCGCCTAAACGAAACAGCAGGCCGCCGCGCAGTAGAAAGAGAGGGGGATAATTATTCCCCTCCTACGCCGTCCGTCTTACGCATTTTCGATCAGGGTCACGTGTCCTGACGCGAGTTTAACAATTTTTACCCATTACAGAAAAAGTGTCCAACGCCGCTAAAGAAGTTTTCACTTCAAAAAAACAAATGGACATATTTGCATTTCGTTATTGCAATTTTTAGTGAAATTTATTTTTATCGTAATTAATTCAAAAGGCATTTTCGAAATCTAAAAACAATGTAAATGGTTCGAGCTTAACCTTAACAATCTTCCTAAATTGAAAACAAAGTTAAAAAATCAAGTACGGGACATCTACTTCATAATACGAGAACAAATTGACATATTTACGTTTCGTTAGTACACAATTTTTAGTGAAATTAGTTTTTATCGTAAATAATTCAAAACGCATTTCCGACATCTAAAAACAGTATAATAGGCTCAAGCTTAACCCTAACAAGCCTCCTAGACTAAAATCATTATCAAAATCAAGTACCGGATGTCTATAGCCAACCCGAAAATAGAAAGCCAAAATTTTGCAGCATCTATCAGATGGCAGATTAACTATCTTGTTTTCACTACACCTTACTCCAGATTAGAAATAATACTGCAGATTAGAAAGTAGTAGAAACAAGCATGAGAAACAACTTTTACAGCAATCTGCCTGACATATACAGCCCTGGAATATTTATGATCTGTTAATATTAGAAGAAAGATAGATGCTCTGGACCTTACTGCTGTCTGATAAAGTAAAAACAAACCTAAGCCCTGCTTGGTGTAGAAGTTATGAAATAATGTTTGAGGTATATTGTGATGCAGTGCCACCAATATAAGGACTATCACAATAGTAACATGAAACTAACAATTGTTTTTGCATAAATGTTGAGCACCAGCTGAGATTGGGAGCAAAGCCAAGATCACTCACTTTTAAACCATATTTTTTAAAAAATGGAATAACGAATGAACTAACAGTGGCTATCTTTCACCCTAAACTAATGACAAAAATCCAAAATTAAGATTAATATAGTTAATCATGGTATTAAATGTTGTACGCCCCTGTAAAACATTTCACACAGCATAATGCTTTGTGTATATCAAATTTATTAGCTCCTATTAGATATTTAAATAAGTGACTCAAAATTCAACTTCATGGTTTCAAAAATAATGAATACTGGTTATTAAAATACTATGAGAGCGACTGGCTGGAAGTGACTACAAAGTACAAAAACAGTTACTATTAAACACTCGTTTTATTCAGCATTCATAATGAGCAGCACTATATTGCTTGAATGACATGATTTCTATCTGAGTAACAATATTGTCTCACAATATATTTGACATTTGACAAATATATTCTTTAAACTAAGTTTTTTTTAAAATAAAATATGGGTGACAAATGAGCACACAGTCCACCTGATGGAAATTGGATGCTGTGGCCCATAGACATTTACAATTATCCTTGATTATGAATGATAAAGCAGATGTTTTGTTGAGGACTAAGATGGAATGCCCTGTTTTTAGTGAAAAGGGTCTCAGGTTTTCTACACTTACCATATGAAACACAGCAGAATTAAGCTGCTATTTTATGCCGGTAATGAAGCTGCATTTTGCTTGAAAGATAATAATTAAAAGGTGATAATGAAAGTGAAACCCAACTTAGAAATGTCTTGCTGAGTGTGATGGTGCTCAGCCAAAATATTTGTGGGAATATATGTAGATAACATTAGCTTTAAGGTATCTTTTTTCATATTATATAAATGTTTGTAGCTGCACTTTAACCTACTGGAAATTACATTCATTGTTTCTTGATGCTCTCCTTGATGAACTCCTTATTTTTATTGACTGATGTGTTAGTCCTAAATGTAAATGTCTATGCTCCACAGCAGCCACTCACCATAAGTTGGACTGTGTGCTTGTTATCCTTATTCTATAAAAAGCTAGTGTTATACAATATTGCTATCAGTTGTCCACAAATATATTTTCCGCTTATTTAGAAATTTTGCAATTTAAAATAATATTGTACTATCTACATGGTATCGAAAGGCAGGGAACTTTATTTGTTGGGCAAAATTTTTCCCTCTTTTTTAATTTTCAAATTATATTGTATTATTGTACAGTGGGTATCGTAAGAGGCAGGGAAGCATTAGCTTCTTTTATAGAATGTTGTTATCAGTTGGCCACAAATATATTTTCCACTCATTTTGAAATTTTTCAATTTATAATTATATTGTATTATTGTACAGTGGGTATCGTAAGAGGCAGGGTAGCAGTAGCTTCTTTTATAGAATGTTGTTATCAGTTGGCCACAAATATATTTTCCACTCATTTTGAAATTTTCCAATTTATAATTATATTGTATTATTGTACAGTGGGTATCGTAAGAGGCAGGGTAGCAGTAGCTTCTTTTATAGAATGTTGTTATCAGTTGGCCACAAATATATTTTCCACTCATTTTGAAATTTTCCAATTTATAATTATATTGTATTATTGTACAGTGGGTATCGTAAGAGGCAGGGTAGCAGCAACTTCTTTTATAGAATGTTGTTATCAGTTGGCCACAAATATATTTTCCGCTCATTTAGAAATTTTGCAATTTATAATTATATTGTATTACTGTATAGTGGGTTTCGTAAGAGGCAGGGCAGCAGTAGCTTCTTTTATAGAATGCTGTTATCAGTTGGTCACAAATATATTTTTCACTCATTTTGAAATTTTCCAATTTATAATTATATGAGTAAACAGCAAAATTCCTTTAAATTTATTGTATTACTGTATAGTGGGTTTCGTAAGAGGCAAGGTAGCAACAGCATCGTGATAACAATGGAAAATTTTAAAATCACTGCAGTTTCTAACCTGACTGCTCACCATTGCAACTATTGCAAAATCCTCCTTACTAGGCAATATATGATATGATGATACGCTGTAGTTGATGGATGGATGGACGGATTGTATTATGGTTCCAATAAATAGGATGGAATGTTGGCTTAATATTATACTAACTTATCACAGATAATGAGAGGCAGTGTAATTAAATGCTTACAGAACTCAACAATGGCTACACCAATTTTTAAATTGCAGCATGTAATTCTAGCGCTGAAGGAAATGTGAAGGGGATAGCTGCGAATGTCGTATCAGTACGGGACACGGAATGCAACTGGAGAACCAATCAGCTCATGCGAATAATACGCACAGCCAATCTTACACAATAAATTACAATACGGCCAATTATGTGCAATATCAGTCACCTATAGACTTTCATGCAGTGAGTTGTACTACACTACAGTTTTATGGCAGAAATAACATTCTCTTTATATCTATAAATAATTTAATGGCAAAACAAAACTACAAGTAATGTTAAGTTTCAGTTAGTTACATAACCATATAAACATAGATAAGCTTTCACAAAATGGTTTGATAACCTCATTGGGTTTTGCCACTGTGACATTATGCACCGTATTTGTTAAATGATTCATTACAACATAGCATGCAATGAATTATTCATAAATATTTTCCATAAAGATAACTAGACAAAGTTATCATTGCTATATCTGATGTATAAGAACTTAAAAGAGTTACTTTTGGTGCATAAATGCAGTTTTTTTTTAACTTCTTCAGTTACTCATATATGGATATTAACTTTATAATAAGCAATTATATAAAAGTATCATTTTCAAAATAAAAAACATAACATAAGTAAAATCCTGAACTTTGGACAAAGGTCCACCACAAAATAAGGAGACACAATACAATTTTAATGTAATATGTTATTAATAAAATTGCATGCAAATTATTGAAGAATGAAATAAAAGTTTAATCTATAAGAATGTTAGTTACAAGCTAGGAAGTTCACACTGAATTGCATGCAAAAGCTAAACACAATTAAAAATTAGAAAGTCCTGTTTTGCTTATCACAAATATTTTTAGTTACGTACAAATAAGCAAAGTGCATGTGAATTATGGAAACAGTGGAGTTAAATAACAACATACCTTTAGAGTGTTTGCCATTGGGTTTGATGATACACTATATGCTTGTTGAATTTGAGATTGAGATTGAATATGTGAAGGGTAGCCTTGATGTTGATTTGTCTGAGGATATCCTTGACTTGCCTGGGGATACCCAGTGTGAGCTTGTGGGTATCCTTGAGCAGCTGGTGGGTAGCCTTGAGCTGCTTGTGGGTAGCCTTGAGCAGGTTGTGGATACCCTTGAGCACTAGTTGGATAGCTTTGAGCGCTGTTTGGATAGCCTTGACTATTTGGGTATCCAGTACTGTGTTGTGGGATGCCCTGGCTGGGCTGGCCGTACCCAGGCTGAGGCGCAGGATAGCCCATAGTGGGAAAGCCAGGCATCGGCAGCGGATTCCCAAATGATTGTGGAGCTGTGTTGCTAAATCCAATATTATGGAGGTATCGCGGTTGCGAATTGTATCCCGAATGGCCCTTAAAACCAAACGAAAACTAAAATCAGTAAAAATCTTCAACTTAGTTTTTCTGATTCATTTAATCCACTGTTTTTTGTGATAAACAAAACAAGGTTTAACAACGAGCGTGCACTAGTTTCATGTATTACTTACTTGCTGATACGGGTTCATTTTATATACTAATACCCTTTCGATCACACACAATAAACAATATTTAATAAAAAAACTAACTTAAACTCGTAATTAAAAAATACGTCCAATGAATAATAAGATGAAAACTGACGAAAACGTCAATGTACTCAAAGTCTTGTACATACAACTTTATAATTTGTACTCAAAGCATCAATTTTCAGTTTATACAAAGCAAAGCACAGAATACATTAGGGATGTGATGTTCGATGATCATCGATGTTAGAAATTAAAACATCGATGTTTTAACATCGATGTTGCCACATGCTAAACATCGTAACATCGATGATACCATATGTCAAACATCGAAACATCGATGTCAATGAGCCAATAATTGATTAATAAGAACTTGTGAACAATGCGAACCCGCGAAATCAATATCAACTAAATATTTTATCTCCTATTAAAGGTTTAAAATGTTGAATAATTTAGGATTCTTAAAGGCATCAATCACCTGAAAAATATCATTATGTTGTGTCAAACTCCCTCTCAAGTGTGAACCGTAATATCACTGCTTTCGCTTTGTTATTCTGTGGTATCATTGTCACCTAATAACTATTCTACATAAATTGATATACAAATAATGTTTTTTTTCTCTTGCTTTCTATACACACATAATTTTGAAACAATATGAATATACACAATCCAATTATATTTAGCTGTTTTTTGAGCTAATGAGTTTATTGTTCGCTTGAAGTTTATGAAAATAAATCACTGGGCAATTATGAGCATAGAAAATTTCACTGCATAGTGCATTTTACAATGCATTTTATAAACGGCTGTGGATACTTATTGTTTGGGCTGTCTGAGAAAAAATAGTGAACAAAGGTGACAGAAAAGTCTAATATTTTGTTTTTGTGACGTTTGCTAATTCGCCCTCTATAATCATATTTTTTTTATTTCGCGATAGGAGTGGTTAATATAGAACCTACGTCTAAATCGTAAATTAGGTCTCATAGTAATTTTTTTCGTAGATTTTTGGTTGTATAGGAACATTTGAAGATCAAACTAATAACATTAATCATTATCGGCAAAAAATATAACAAATGAACTAAACATTTGTTAAGTTTTGCCCATTTTTTAAATTACTATTTAGAACTAAATGTTTTATAAATTTCTTTCATTTCATTAATAATAAACTATAATCTACACTATAAATTTTTTGTTTATCTAATTTTAACCTACTAATTAGGTAGGTACATGTGCAATAACATCGATAATGGCCAACATCGATGTTTTAAGTACGATAAACATCGAACATCGATGTTAAGCTATCGATATCAACATCGATGTCATCATCGATGTTTCTGCAACATCGATCATCCCTAATACATTTACCCTGACCGGATACAAAGGTACTCTGTGGCATCCATAGATTACTGTATATCATAGATAAATAAATATGTAGCAAGCTACTGTATATATACGTGGCATCAATGATTGGATACCTATCGAATGAGTGAGCTACTGAGCGAATGAGTCACAACAAAACATTCACACGTCACGTCGAAAACGTCATTTAATTTAATTCAAGTAGGTCTGATAGACATGTACGTGGCTATATCGGTTTTTTCTCTGTCGAATAATAATACCGAATTTGTATTGAAATTTTTAATGAACATTCTGTTCAGTAAATAAAAATGCAAAACATTGAATACAAAGCACCCAATACCATGGTGTAACAAGTGATGCGCTTAAATTAATTATTTCATATTTAGGTGACAGAACGCAAAAAGTTGTCATTAGTATGAGTTTTTCTGCGTCGAAAGTACAAATAGGCGTGCCTCAGGGCTCAATTCTCAGCCTGTTTATATTTCTTGTATATATTGATGACTTACCTTACATAGTAGAGGATAAACATGATATAGTATTATTTGCTGATGACAGTTCATTAATTTTCAAATTAAAACGACAGTTACTTAATTAAGACGAAGTAAATAATTGCTATATCCAAATAAGTAAATCAGTTTAATGTTAATATAGTGCATTATATGGCACTTAAACTAAATATATGAAATTCATAGCTCCGAATGTCAAACAAGTTAATACTAATGTAATTGTATTAACTTGTTTGACATTTAGTACATTGACATTAAGTACGTAATAAATGGGTAGGAGCTGATTCTTGTTGATTCGCCATTTTTCTTGGAATCACACTAGACGCAAAGCTTCAATGAAGCTCATATATATCAAAACTAGCAAGCCAACTTAGTTCTGCAGCATATGCTGTAAAAAAGATCAGAAGCCTTACAAGTCTTGAAACAGCAAGACTAGTTTACTTTAGCTTTTCCGTAGCATAATGTCGTATGGTATTTTGCTATGGGGGCACGCGACTCACACTAAAATTATATCTGTATTACAGAAGATGGCTATTAGAGCAATCTATGATTTAAAATCTAAAGAGTCACTCTTTAGATTTTTAAATCATAGATTATATGGCTCTCTTTATGAGGCTTGTCGGTTTATCCACCCTAAGAAATCCACCCTAGGGTGGATACTTAGAAATGCGTGTTCGTTTATCCACCACAGACGGGATGGATAATCGGAATTCGCATATTATTTTTCTTCCGATTTTACCCGTCTGCTGTGTACAGTCGTTTATAAAAACTACTACTTAGTAGACATTAGCGTATTTATAAAAATACATAAATACTTCTTGTTTAAAGGTCAAAACTGCAATACTTCTAATTGTTCAATTACATATCATTCGAGGTGACATAATTTAAGTCATCTCAGAGAAATGTTATGACGAAATAAATATTTACTGCAATTAATTTCAATTATATTTTATTGAATTGGGTATTTAAATTAAATAAATATATTGTTAATTATACAAACACAGTATTGGAAATAATACTGTACTTAACTTTTAAAGTGTCTATTATTGAGAGACAAATTTATACAGGATATACAATTACGCCCATTCAATAATGAAAATAGTGCTGGTTATTTCCTGGAAATATTGTAGAATTTATAAATTGCTTATTATTATTATACAGGTAATATGATTTTTGTTTAAGTTTTGGTTATTAAAAATTAATAAATAATATGTTAAAGTATGAATTTATTTTCTGTTGAACTGTACTTGGGGTGGAAAGGCGGAACAACAATCAAAAAGTGAATTCTGATTATCCACCCCGTCTAGGGTGGATAAATGAACACGCGTTTCCAATTGGTGGATAAAGAAACACCCATTTATGAAAATGATGGTAATGTACGTACAAATAAATAAAAGTAGTTTTACAAAAATAAGCGTTGTTCATTCTGTAAATATTACGAACATACACAAGCTAGTCGTACTAGTTACTCTACTCTACCGAGTCAGTAATACATTCTTAGAGATATGTATTATTGCGCTTTTCTACAAAAACTCAGAAAATATACAAAATTTGACCTGCTCAAAATTCTTTTTATTAACTTTATTAAACTAAGTTTGTATAAAAAGAGTAATTATAATATTAAGGAATTTATGGATGATAATAAAGGTTATCGCTACCAAGCTATTTCTAATTCAAATTCAAATTCAAATTGTTTATTGCATGTCACATTACAAATTTAAGATGGTACAATTTTGATTGGTATACATGTGACGCCCCGCAAGGGCATAGCAACACTAGAGGGCTAACTATTTTCGTATTATCTAATTTTTAAACATAAATTACAAATTATCATATCATCAACATTCAATATTATTTTATATAAATTAATTTAATTTGAAACACAGTGAATAGTCTAAGTATTCTTACTTTATCGTTATTTATCGTCAAAAAATTCATTTAAATTATAGTAACATTTATTAATAAGAAATATTTTTAATTGTTTATTAAATTGCACAGGATTTTCCAGGATTTTTTATGGAATTTGGTAAATGGTTATAAATCTTTATTGACATAACGTGAGGGCTGTTTGAAACTAATTTTAATTTGGAGAAGGGTATCTTAAGCTTATATAAATTTCTATTATTTCTTTTAGTTTTTTTAATAGGTGAGTAGAGTTTTGGGTGCTTCCTAACAAATTTACAAGATTCGAGGATGTAGATAGATGTAAGTGTCAAAATCTTATTTTTAATGAAGTGGGGTTTACATGACTCCATTTTGTCCAAATTTATCAATATTCGTAGACACTTCTTTTGTAATATAAATAATTTGTTTATATCACAAGAGTTTCCCCACAAGATGATGCCATAGGAGAGTACGGAGTGAGCATGTGCATAGTAAGCCGCAAGGGCAGTCTTAAAATCTGTCACACGTTTAAGGTGTTGCAGTGCATAAATAAATGAGAATATTTTTTTTGCAACTTTTTGTACGTGCTGTTTCCAACTCAAATGTGTGTCCAAGTCTATTCCTAACAAAGTGCCAGAGTTAGTTTCTAATTTTGTGTTTTTATAGTTATAAGATATTTGTAAATCAGTTTTTTTGGTAGGGTTTAAATTGAATAATTTTAGTTTTATTAAGGTTAAGTTGTAAATTATGTAATTGTAGCCAGCCAGTAATTTTATCTAATGTATAGTTCAATTTTGTAGTTAAATCTGTGGAATTAGTGCAAGAGATTAATATGGAGATGTCATCTGCAAAGAGCACGCATAGATCGTCCAGTATGTTTGGTAGATCATTTATGTAAATAAGAAACAAAATACAACCCAAAACGCTACCTTGAGGGATAGAGCCAGAAATGAGAGTTGCATCCGATCTGACATGAGTAATTTTGCCTGTCTCGAAGTTGGTATTTTCAATTTCTACATATTGGAAGCGGTTATCAAGATAGGATTTTTTCTAATTTATTCTGTGTTGTTAATTGTGACATACATGATTGGAAGCTACAACGGTTGTCGTTTGGTCTCCATTTTTTGCCATGGAAGGAAATGGAGAGATCTCCGCGAGGCATAGTGTTCAGTCTGGGAGCGGTAAACGCTCTGAGTAGTTCAGAGCTACTCTATAATATTATTTACTGTTTTACTTCGGCATTTTAATAGCGTTATTAAG